CACAGCTTTAACGGTTTGATAGATTTGGTCAAAATTTTGCAAAGACCAGTATTTCATCTCTACAAACAAAGTTACAGAGCCATTTCTTGAAAAAAGAAACTAAATTCTTTCTTTCTTGCCATTTTTCATGAAACAAAATACTAGTTTTTTTTTCTTGAAAAAAAGGAAGAAAGAAGGAATTTAGTTTTCTTTTTTCAAGAAATGGCTCTGTAACTTTGTTTGTAGAGACGTAATACTGGTCTTTGCAAAATTTTGACCAAATCTATCGAACCGTTAAAGCTGTGCATCTGTTTAAATTTTTATAATAATTATTATAAAATTATAAACTATCAAAAAATCTTCATTAACAAATTTTATTATATGACCACATATAGTTTTGATTTACATAGTATACCGAACACCCCAATGTGTCACCCCAACCATTTTTTTTTTTTTACCATTACCGCCCCAAAAAAAAAACATAAAAATAGACAAAAATATATACTGATATACTATCTGCTCATTTTTTATGATGCATCAACAAATTGCAATAAAAAGGAAATTGAGCGATCAAAAAAACGATTTTAACGGGGATTTTTCGTCAAGTGACAAACATGCTCATTTTTTGAAAAAAAGTAAATTAACTTTAATAAAGCACCCACTTGGTATAATGCCATGGGGTAATTATTATATTGATTCTACAGAAAAAGGATTTCGTAAAAACCGTCGAGAAACCAGTCTTGGCGCATTTGCATATTTAACAGATGAAATAATTTTAGAGATTTTTGGATATCTTAATGTAAAAGAATTATTAACTTTATGCTTTACAAGCCAAGTATTATATTGTTTTGCATCTTTTGAAGAATTATGGAAACAGCTTACAATTCGAAGGTTTAATGGTGATTGGTGGTGGTACGGTACCTGGAAGTTAACATACTTAAAGCGATCAGATCCTAAATATGATGCAGATTCGTTCATCAAACCCGCAGTAAACATAACACATTTTTACAGTGATGTACTCTTTCAACCATTCCTGTATAGTTCGACAGAAATTGATCAATTCCTGGGAACAGAAACGATCGATCGTCGTTCAAATTTAAGCATGGATGAATTTAACTCAAACTATGCAGCAAAAAATAGACCAGTAATTATTACAGATGTAGTAACGCAATGGCCAGCATTCCAAAAATGGTCAATGAAATATCTTGTAGAAAAATATGGTGATGTTTCGTTTCGTGCAGAAGCTATTGACATAAAATTAAAAAACTATGTACAATACAGTACGAACACATTAGATGAAAGCCCATTATATCTGTTTGATAAAAAATTTGGTGAAAAATGTAATGGTATTCTTGAAGATTTTTTTGTGCCAGAATATTTTTGCCAAGACTTTTTTAATATTCTTGGACAGGACAGGCCAGATTTTCGGTATTGTATCAATTTTTATTCTTAATAATTAAATTTTGAATTCTTTATATTTAAAGAGGATTTAGTCATTTATTATGAGCAGGTGGATCATAATCGGCCCGGCTCGTTCTGGTTCAACATTTCATAAAGATCCGAATTCAACTTCAGCATGGAATGCTGTTATCAAAGGATCCAAAAAATGGATAATGTATCCACCAGATACTCTTCCTCCAGGTGTTTTCACTAGTGCAGGTTTGTAGATTGTTAAAAGAATAATTTGGATTAAACTATTCAACACATTCTCATTTAAGTATAATAAATAGATGAGGCAGAAGTTACATCACCAGTATCTTTGATGGAATGGCACTTTAATTATTATAAAGAAACACAAAAGTCAAAAATACGGCCTTTAGAAGGGATTTGTCGTGCAGGTGAAATGATTTTTGTTCCAAATGGATGGTGGCATACGGTGATCAACCTCGAAGATTCTATTGCTATTGTATGTCACAAATTAACTTTAATCGCGATATTTAGTTGTTAATATTCACTGTTAATTAAATTTCCTTCATTAATGATAGACACAAAATTTTATTGGACTACATAATTTGTCAAATGTACTTAAATTTCTCCGCGAGAAACCCGAACAAATTTCAGGATTCTCATCAGATTCTTGGCCATCTTGTAAAATCATTCACGAAACTTTCTGTAAAACACTTCAAAAAGTTTACCCTGGATTGTTAGAGAAACTTGAACCAAATAATGATTCATATAAAGATAACAAGTCATCCATATGGGAACAGATCAAGAAATCTGATGATGCAGAAAAAGGATTTACGTTTAATTTTTCTAATGACGAATAAAAGGAAAGTCTGTATAAAAGATGGTTTTATATTTTTATCAAAATTATGAAATATTCGTAATCGCAGAGATCAACGTGGATTGTATGATTCTTTACTGAAACTTAAAAGTTCATTAACATGTGAGATAATTATTCTTGTGTCTGTTAAAGCGGCAATGCAAAATACATTTGTAGATACTAAAGTTTTGGAATCTTTAAGGTTTTGCTCACCATTGCAATCCCACTCAATGCATACAATAATACAAACGGATGTAACATAATATTTGGAAATATTTCAATCACACCACCCGGTAAATTATCATCTATTTGCCCCTCCTTAACAAAATAAGCAATTATAGCTACTATGGTCATTGTAGTTGGAATTGGAGTTCCTTCAAAGTAGCTAATTTTACCAGAAGAGTCCTTTGGAAGAGATGCAACAGTTGCATTATAACGGGCCAAACGAGCGATACCACAAGTTATAAAAACTGAAAGTATCATAGTATCAACGAATGTGCACATTCCTACAGCGAAACCGCACACCGCAGGAGCAACACCGAATGATATCTGTAATATTGCATAATATTATAAAAGATTAATAAAACTCTTTCATAGTGACCAAGTCAAATAAATAGTAGTACAAATACAATGTTGGCCGCGCTTTGTTCACTCTTTATTACTCACCAAATCCGCTAATGAATCTAATTCCTGGCCCAAAATACTGGAGGAATTTCTCCATCTGGCCACTTTTCCATCCAATAAATCAAAGAACATTCCTAATGGCATGAGCAGCATGCTTAACCATAGAAACCATTCTTCTTTTGTGGTCATATACTGTATGGATGAAAAAATAGAGTATGAACCACATAAACCATTTGCTAAAGTAATGAAGTCCGCAAGATGAAAGTTTCTGAAAAAAAACGAATTCGTCAAATCAATAACTTTAAAATTTTTTAAAACGTTCCACTAAAGTTTAAAATACTTTGATATATACCGAACTAATGAAAAATGTTTATAATCATCATTAAAATGCCTCAATTCCATTTCGTTCTTTTTGGAAATAGTGCTTTCCATTATCGTTACGTTAATTTATTTTGAAAATCTTTAAAAATCGAGGTTGATATATTTTTTTTGAATAAATATTTTATGATCGTAATCATTATCGTTATTGTTAATTTATTCAATTATTACGATTAGTAGAAATCAGGTTTTTTTAAAAAGGTATTACGTATATATTACTGTATTACTGTATGTTGCTGTACATGTGTAAATTGTTTTCGGGCTAAAAATTCTGCCATTACTGTTTTTTTTTAGTTATCGATATACGTAAATAAATCACTGTTAATTATGTGAATTAAATATATAAAAAATTAAGGAATGCGGAATGTGAAACACTATGAATAAGTAAAAAAAAAACCGTGTGGATTTGGTCATACCACAGATTCAGACAAAAATATCCTTTATGTAAAAAATTGTAATGTATGACGTGATATTTACATAGAAAGTTAGGCGGAATTTAATAGCAGTGAGGCTTCGAATCATTTGTTTTGATTCGGCGTTGTGGCTCATGTACTACTAAAGCTGTACTTGGCATTTATGTATCGGTATATGCTCGTTCATGTATATATTTGGTAAGCGCAACATTAAGGAATCCGGCTTGGCAGCATTAGATTCAGACTAAGCAGTTATGAAATTATTATAATTGACTCTTAGACCTTTAGTTATATTGTATACGTAGGTATAGTACCCAAATCTTTTGACTATCGTCTAAAAAGTACTAGATTGAAGCTGTTGCTTCGCATCACTTCCGAAAATGGTTTAGTACGTACTAATTTTTTCTGCTCGTGAAAGTCACATTTGAGTATCATGTGGAAGCCACATCAGAACAAATCTAGTTATCATATTTTAAGCCACAATATTTATAGATTCAAATAAAATCAAACTCTCACCAAGAAAAAGACCTTCTTATATATGTCTCGAGAAGCATAGGCAATACAATTATGGTTATGTATTGTTTGAAATCAGTTGATTTCGATAAATAATTAACCTGATCATACGATAAGTAATTAAACCTGAATCACGCTATGAAGATTTATGATTCTGAAATGATGATTTAACGAAAAGATTTTCTGTTGATGGCCCAAATTGCTTTAAAACAAAATATCATATTTTGAGATCTGTGTTAATATTTGTATTGCACCCGAAAAGAATGGAGCCGAAACTACAGTATATGAGTGTCGCTAAAAGAAAACCCGACAATTTAAATATGACTTATATTTAAATTTTCGGGTTTTCTTTTAGCGACACTCATATATTATCGCTATAATTAGGAATTATAGCTGATCGTATAGTATAGTTTTTAATTTTGGCTTGTACCATACTGATTGCTCACCCATGCCATACTTAATATCATCTTAACATGGGATATGTTGGATTTACTTATTTTTGCATGTGATACAAATCACATGCTATTAGAAAATATTCATTTGTTGTTATTTTGCTAAGAACACGTGAAGTTTTAACTAGCATTAGGGTTAGGATTAAAGTTAGTATTTGAATGTAATAAGTAAAATTAGCTCAGGAATTTGTTTATTAGAACATAAAAGGTGATTATTTTGAGTTATTGGGGATTTTTAAAAAAGCCTTTAATTTTACATTACACAAAAATTACACCTGATCTTGTGATCTACATATAAAAAATTCCTTTTTTTGGATTTAATATATAGATTATATGCACATCAGTTATACTAATATGCAAGAGTCATTGACTTTGCATAAATTTCATTAATTTTAATATATTAGATTATATTTTGGGTGTAGTAACTTAGTGAAGTTAGTAAATTGTTGCATTACAAATGGCAAACAAAAGTTTGAATTTCACTGATAACAAAATTTAAATTTTATAAAATGTGTTATAGCAGATTATGTATAATTTGATAGGTCAGCACCTGTAATTTTAGTTGTATCAGCTTGTACTAAGAGGCTGTAAAATATTAATATGATGTATAAGTTACACAAAATCTGAATGAAATAGCTAAATAAATTCAAGGATTTGAAGCATACAGAAGCCTGCTAGCAAGTTTCAAGTAGAGAAGTGATATAAATTTTTGATGGTGCTATATAAAAAATTATTATTAGAATCTGGATACTAGTAGTAAACTAAACAAGAACTGAATGTTTGACAAAACACTACACCAATTAGACTGCCAGATAATCAGAGAAAAAAATTTAAATAGAATACTAAGGGATGTCTACTAGTTCCTTTTAAGTTATTTAGATTAGAAGTTTAAAGTACTAATGAAATTTAGATATTAGTAATAGTCTATAAAGTAAATACTAGAGTTTAGATAAACTCTATAAAAGCAGAAGAAGGTAATAATAACAGCTTTAACTTACAAGCACTTGTTTTTGAACTCAATATAAGTTACCAAAATCTAGATTATCCAGATTGTGAGTATTAAAAGCTTTAGCAATAATGTTTCAAGAATAAATTAATTTTAAGATACAAAAAAATATCTGAAATTTTTTAACTAACAAATATAGTAGAAATGTATTAGTAATACAAAAAAGGTTGCATTACAGAAAGTTTAAATAGATAATCTTCTAGTTGGATTATAAATATAGTATCTAATATAGTTTTATAATGTAATATTAATATATGAACTATTTAAATAGATAACCAAAAGTTGTATATATGGCTAGTTGTATTCTTTAATATAAAAAAGCCACATTAAAACTAAGGCTATAAGCCTTCCCATTCAAAAAACTTGAATAAAAACTTCAAAAATATTAGTTAACAAAAAATAAAATAAAATAAAATATTATATTTTATAGAGAATTTCTATTTGTATATAGGGTGTTTGAATATGGACATATAAAAAAACTAATCAGATGACATAATCAGATGTAATATAAAATTAATGCATTCTTTAAAAAATCATTCATAACTCAAAATTTCGCTTATAAAACAGCCTTTTAAGTATTAATTAAAAAAATTTTTTACAAAATTTTGCTATAAACTATTTGTCACTTCTATTCCAAACTTACTCTTACCTAACCTTAGACAACATTTAACTTTTTATTTTATACAAATTGTTTTGTTTACATGTTATACAGATTTGCAAATTAATATTCATATCCAAGTTTACTTAGTAATTTTCTATTTTATATTATATATAATGCTAAGTGATATATAGTATCAGTTAGTGATTTTCTATTTGTATAAAGCAGATTAACTAATATAAGGTTTGAAAATACTATAGATAAGAAAGATTGAGTATAAATTTTGCTTTTTGATTTTGATAAAACACTATGCATAATTGTATAATATTGCATATTGTATTATTTTTTTTTTTTTTGGTGTTACGATAAGGCCTTGCTCATATCTTTATTAGTAATTTTAAAAATAGTAACTACATTGTAGAAATACTACTATTTGTACAAGTAC